GATTTTTGTCTTTTCTGTTTTACAATGGGAAAAGCTTGAACATGTCTGTATGCCAGGAGGGAAGGAATCAGTGGCAAGAAAAGTTAAGAGAGCTGAAAGATAAGAGAATGATACGGAAGTTCTTGTAGGTGTTGGAGTGATTTGCTGAAGTGGAGAAAAAGGCCAAAACATAGTGAGATGGTGGCATAAGATGGGTCACTTTTGTGAACATGTAGGTCTCTCAGGGTGACGGCCTGAGCAGAGTGGAGAAGACAGTAATCTAGGTGCCAAAGTTCTCGATGGGAATACTATTGTGACCATAACAGATAGTAGCTAGAACAAGTTCTAAGAAAATCCTGAAAAAGGCGGATGTTAGTTGATACTAGAAATTGGAGGGGAAAGATTGACAAGGTAGAAGAGTGTGTTTAAAAAAATAACAATGTTTAAGGTTTATAAATCACAATGAAAGAATTGGAGTAAAAAGAAAGTATGGTTCTTAGGAAGTAAGTGCAAAGCTTTTGGGGAATGAAATTTTGAAAGAAGGCAGAAGACCAGAGGGATTTAAATTGGACATGGGAGACAACAGTTCTCAGTGGAACTCTAGTTTGAAGTGTTGCCCCTGTCAGAACAAGCAGTGTTTAGGGTTATTGTAGGCCTCCTGACAATAGTGGCTTGAAATCTTAGTTCTGTTGTCACTGAAAATAAGCCTTAACAACTCTAAAAGCTCTGCTTATGGGATTTTAAAACATCATCTGTATGGAAATTGGATAAAATATAATACACACTAAAGAGGAGAAGGTTCTGATTTGTTGGGTCAGAGAAGGTAAAATGTTTGTTATGGTAACAAAACCTTAAAAACTAGTGTTGTTAGCACCTTGGAAACTAAGAATGAAAGTCTACATGACTTCAGTAAATCAGGAAAGTGAGTGTGGATTATAGCTCAATAGAAACTGCTGCAATATAGTATACATAAGTAGGGAAATTGAAATGTGTATTAAAAATTTATAGTAGCCCAAAGCTTTCTAGGAATAGATATAAGAATAACACAATAATATATGCTGTGTATCTATCTGTTAAAGTATTATAAAAATTTTATTCACTGCATATATATCATACACCAAACATATGTAAGGTATAAGATATTTTTCAAACATGTAACTATTATGTTAATTTTTTTAAAAATAACAAATACTAACAATGATGTGGGGTATCTGGGGCTCACATCCATTACTGGTGGGAATGCAAAATGGTATAGACACGTTGGGAGATGGTTTGGCAGTTTCTCACAAAACTAGGCATATGCTTACCATACACAATCTAGCAATCCTGCTCCTTGGTCTTTACTCAAATGAATTGAAAACTTATGTCTATACAAAACCTGCACATGGATGTTTGTAGCAGCTCTATTCACAATAGCCAAAACATGGAAGCAATCCAGATGTTCTTCTCTAGGTAATGGATAAACTATGGTTCATCTAAATAGTGACATATTATTCATCCCTAAAAAGATATGAGCTATCAAGCTGTCAAAAGATATGGGGGACCTTATATGCATATTACTAAGTGAAAGAAACCAATCCAAAAGGCTACATTCTGAAGGATTCTAACTATATGACACTCTGAAAAAGGCAAAACTATGGAAACAGTAAAAAGATGAATGGTTCTCCAGGATTGGGTGGGAGGGAAGGGATGAATAGGTAGAGTACAGGGGATTTTTAGGACAGTGTAACTATTCTATATGATATTACAATGGTATATCCGTGTCATTATACATTTAATAAGAACCCAGATGAGGCATAACACCAAGAGTGAACTGTAACGTAAATTGTGTACTTTAGGTTATGTATGTAAAGATTCATCAGTTATAACAAATGTACCACTGTGGTGCAGGTTGTTCCTAGTTGGGGGTTTGTGTGTGTGGAGGGCACAGGGAATATATGGGAACACTTTGTCTTAATACTTTCCATTCAAATTTCCTGTGAACCTTAAAACTACTAAAAAGAAAATTTTTAATTAAAAAAGAAAAATTAGTATATGCAACATTTCAGGTGGTTTACAGATTGACAGAAAGAGCACATACTCATCTGTCATTATATTAAAGTAAGTTTCTTACGCATTGAACCAATGATACAAAATCTTGTCAGAGGTCAGAGGGCCACATACATTAAAGAAACAGATGTGTAATGCTTTCCATAGCCCCAATTTCCTTGTGCAGGGCCTTCCCTCGGGTGTGTGGGGTCTTTATCTATATAAACAATTTTGGGGGGATGGACATGCTTGAAATGCTCTTACTCGAGGGGGGAGGGGGCATGGGCAATATGAGTAACCTTAACACTTTTACCCCCATAATACGCTAAAATAAAAAAATAAATAAATAAAAATAAAATAAAATAATATATTGAAATAAAATAAATAAATAAAATTTCCCCTTATAAAATTATGCCACATCCTAAGAAGTTTTATATATGCTAATTATAGTACTTAGAATTTTTTGAGTATTATAGGACTATAATATATTTTTTAAAAAATTCATTTAGTTTAAAATCATTATTCCCCTATAGTACAACATTCTGTTTCAACTGTTGTAAACTTATTTTATTTCACAATTTTCTAATTGTATACTGTATTAATTTGCTAGGGTTACCATGACAAATAACACAGATTGGGTGGCTTACATACATACATTTGTATACAATTCTGGAGGCTAGAAACCTGGGGTCACGGTGTTGGCAAGGTTAGTTTCTTCTGAAGCCTCTACCTTTGAATTGTAGATGACTGTCTTCTCCCTGTTTCTTCACATGGTCTTTCCTCTGTTTGGCTCTATTCAGAGCCTACACTAATGACTTCACTTTAACTTAATAACTTCTTGGAAAATAAGCCATATTGACTTCAATATATGAATTTTGATGGAACACAATTCAGCCCCTAACAGATTTAAGAATTGTAAGGCACTGTATGGTGTTGTATAAGTTACAAAGATATTTAAGACTCAATCAAGAAATAAGGAATGCCTTTTCTCAAAAAAAAGTTAAATAGAACATGTAAAACCCAGTCCAATATGGTTTTTCTCCAATAAATATATACCTGTTCCTCTGGTGTTAGATGAGAATCCTTATGAATATTGTCTTTGCCAATAAAGAAATAAATGTCTGTAACCTTAAAATGGATGGTCAAACACAAATACCTATTTTAGTTATGTAGCTTTTTAAATAAAACTTCTTTGATATATCTATATCAGCACAAAAAGTATATTATATGTATGTTTAAACAATTTGATTAAATATTTTACTCCAGGGGCCAGGGCAGTGCCTCATGCTTATAATCCTAGCACTTTGGGAGGCCAAGGCTGGGACTGCTTGAGGTCAGGAATTTGAGATCAACCTGAGCAAGAGTGAGACCCTGCCTCTACAAAAAATAGAAAAATTAGTTGGGCATGGTGGCACATGCCTGTAGTCCCAACTATTTGGGAGGCTGAGGCAGGAGAATCGGTTGAGCCCAGGAGTTTGAGGTTGCAGTGAGGTATGACAGCTCCATGGCACTCAAGCCAGGGCAACAGAGTGAGACCTTGTCTAAATAAAATAAATAATAAATAAATAAAATTTCATGGGCTCATGAGAAAGTATAGTGATTTTATAATGAGCATTTAGTATATGGGATAGAGAAGAGGAACTTACCGATTCACTTATTGTTCAGTCAATGCACATGAGGATTGCAGTGTCCAAGCACCATTTTTTACTGTTCATGTCATGGACTTTGTTCTTGTCCTTTGTTGTCAAAAGTACCACTTCTGGCTAATTTTATATCTCCTACTATGAGAAAAAGACAGGAATGTTATTATTACTCATAAAGCTGTGGCTCTTTGAAATCTGTTTATATTGAAACAAAATAGACAGATTGTTTGCCTCCACAGTTTCATAATACTATATACATGGAGAAAATGTCTTCTTAGGGTGAAATTTGAAAATGATAAAGCCCCTTTATAATTTGTGTGGGGTGAGGGTGGAGATAGGGATACAAGAGTAATAAACAGAAAGAGAAGGATGATCATATATACGTGCAGTTCCCAACCTCTGGGCTATGAACAGATACCAGTCAGTGGCCTATTAGGAACCAGGCTGCACAGCAGGAGGTGAGCAGCAGGCAAGCGGGTGAAGCTTCATCTGTATTTATAGCCGCTCCCCATCCCCGGATTACTGCTTGAGCTCCACCTCCTGTCAGATCAGCGGCAGCATTAGATTCTCATAGGAGCACAAGCCCTACTGTAAACTGTACATGCAAAGGATGTAGGTTGCATACTCCGTATGAGAATCTAATGCCTGATGATCTGAGGTGGAGCTGAGGCAGTAATGCTAGCACTGGGGAGCAACTGTAAATACAGGTTATCATTAGCAGAGAGGTTTGCTGTAATAAATCAATTGCTTGCAAACTCATATCAAAACCCTATTAGTGAGCAGCAAGTGACAATGTAATAATAATAGAAATAAATTACTCAATAAATTTAATGCACTTGAACTATCCCCAAACCCATCCCTATTCCCCCCATTCTACCCCTCTGGTCTATGGAAAAATTGTCTTCCATGAAACCGGTAACTGGTGCCAAAAGATTGGAGACCGCTGATATATATGTCATCTACAGATAAACACGAAAGTGATGTCTCATTACCACCCCAAACCACTTTTACCTGATCCAGAATGTCAGGCTCTTCCACAAAAATAATCAGGATCTGTGCTGAGCTCTTCCTCATGTAAGATGTAAATAAGTTTGCGTGAGAGCTTCTGTGGCATATGTTCTCTATTTTCTTCTGTCCAGAAGTCAAGGGCCAGGAGAGAAAGAAAGACAGGTACAGACTCTCAAGAAATATAGTTGCCCTTCCTCTCATCATGTGGAACATTTTACTTAGTAGACATTTAACAAGATGTAACTGGCTCTTTTAAAAGTGGGAGTCTTAGTGGTATTGGTTGATATGTTTTACCATGTGCTTGGTGCTTTAAAGTGCATATCTTTTTGTGTCTTCTTCCAGACTGAACACTTGCCTTTGCAAACTCAGTTCAAAGAAAGAGAAGTTGGCAGTCTTCAGCACTCTGTAAGTAATACGGTGGAGCTGGTGGCTTACATGCTTATTAAAATATTATTTCATTTTCATAAAAGTTCATTTTTCATCTCTCCTCTATTTGAGTGTCTGTACTATGATTTGCTAAAGTCATTGAGCATAAGTAATCTTAGAAGTAATAAAGTTTTGTAAAACCAGTAACCAGGAAGAGGGGTCTGTACCAAAGACACCGCAGAACATCATGGGGGATTCATTTTATAAGTGTCAGCTGTGGCCCAAGGTCAAGCCAGAAAGAAAGGTCAAAATGAGGATATTTTTGGCAGAGTTTCTTATTCTCAGTTTTGTCAGGCATGTGGTCAAATGTCAGTTCATTTTGCTGTATCCTTTCGCTAGTTCCCCCGCGCTGAATGTTGAGGTTTATTCTTGTTTTGTTTGTTTGATTTAATTCTCCACATCACTCCTATATTAGTTCCAAGCTTGAGCCTTGTTGAGAGTCTCCTGAGATTTACAACCCTGTTCTTCTCTGGTTTACCTTACCTGATACCAACTCTAAATTTCAAAACCTGAAACTAATCCCAGTCCCCATTAGTTACAATTTTGTATTTAGGAGCTGCCATTATCCTTATTTGGGTATGTAAGCAAAACATTGGCTGGAAAATTATAGGTTATTGAACTTTACCTTAGCTCGTGAGGTAATGAGTCAGGGACACACACTGTAATGAATTCTATTCTTGTCTGTTTTTACTGAAGTGCTAGAAAAGTATAAACAGCTGCTCTACTAATGTAAGCAATGTTTGAATTTTTAGAATGGACTAAATAGCAGGAGATTTGACTATGAAGATGAGAATCCAGCAGAGGAAGATGGGATTCAGCAGATGTACCCCCTTTGTAATCAGATGTGCTACCACAACCGGAGCCCTGGCAGACATCATCAAAACAAGGGCCCCGAGAGAGTCTACATCAACCCACGAGAACATTATGTGTGATGCTTCTCTTTTTCCAATCAGTATTCTAACAATGTTTATTCTTAGATTGGCAAGAGAAACTGAGGCCAATAGGTATTTTATTTCTCTCATATAAAATAGTCCCAGTCTAAATGTATTGGAAGTCTTGATGAATAACTTAAAGCCAACAGCGAATTTCTTTCCTTCATTAAGGGTTTCTTAACCACCAGCTGTGTTTGTGAACTTGACTATAGCTTTGTGTGTTTCTGTGACGATGGTGTTTAACTACTAACATTTGGCCTACAACGGCATGTGCATTTGAAAGTACAGCATCTGCCTGTGATGACTGCAGTGATTCTCCAGAAAGAAAGTCCCCAGCTGGTCCTGTTAACCTCGCTGGGTCTCAGGCAGGCCAGCCTATTCATCTGTAATTCAAACAGGCAGAAAAATGAGTTCATAATCCATTTCACTAATTATTTAGCTGGGATTTGGATTTCCCTGACATGCTTAATACGATTACAATACCTGTGTACAAACAGAGGCCTGAGGAAAGACGCAAAATTGGCTCTTTATCCAAAAAACAACAACAACAAAAGACAATTTGAACCTTCAAGCTTTTTGGTGGCTTTCAGATCCTTATGCTATTGTGACATATGCTCCTTCTTGATCACCAGGGTCCTTAGAGATACATATTTCTTGCTGTCATCTGCGTACTCTCAACTCTTGTGTGTAACACAGGTTCTTCTTTTACTCTGTCACGACTCCCACATTCCTGTTCTTTACTAGCCAGATTAGCCTATTTCCCACCTATTAAATTCTGAAAACCCAGCCTAAGTGGTATACAGGCTTTAGCCGTGTCCCTCTTTTCTCTAGTATTGTACATAACAAGCTCAGCTTTCACTTCTGAAATTTCTTTAAAACTAATCTCATCCATATAGGCTTTACCTACCCTTCTGCATTCTTCAGACTACTTATCGTCTGTTTTATCTACCTCAGAAAAGCCTGCTGGAAAATCACCATGAAATAACTACTGCTCTTAAAAGCCAGGTGAAAAATATGAAAACTTGAGGAAAAAAAAATAATAAGCCACTTCAATATGGCATGTGTGTTAAACCCTCATGCTCTTTATCCCTCCTCCCCTACTTTACCTGGTCATCAAGAGTAAAGAGATGCTAAAAAGCAAATAATACAGTGACTTATCTACCTGGGATATCCTGCAACACTGTAGTGCCTACAGATGTCTGTCTTGTGCTTGCCTATCTCCCTTTGTCAATTTTCCATCACCGAGACTGATGATAGTCATTACGATGGAGTGTGCAGAGATGGGGATCACAGTTACACATGCAAATGTCCATCACTCACCCTCACATCTTGAGAGTGTTTCACTGTGTGTTCTGGAATATAGAGGTGTGTCACAGGTATAAAAAACACTACAAACTTGTCATATATTAGGAAAGAGTGGCATAAGCATTAAAATAAATAGTATACATTCCCAACCTAAACTTCAAGGGGAGAGGAGAAAGAATATTAACATAAATTTCTAATAAGATGCCAAAGATATTTTATGATTTATGTTACACTGGCTCTGGTTTTTGTTTGTGTGTTTCCCTTTTTTTTTTTTTTTAAGTTGCTGTGCTTTGTCAAATAAATTATCTAGGCTGTTCTATAGCAGTAATATACTCTTCCCTCATTACCTGGATGACCAACAATTCTGGAACAAAAAGGGTGCTTAAATTCCAACTCAATGTTTTGCCAGTAAATTAGCAATTTTAAAGGCTATAGCTATGTAGGATCAAAGGGTAAATTCCAAGGACCCTCATTGCTGTATGTATCACTGTGCTACCTCAAAATTAGAGTTTACTGCCCTTTGTAGCAAAGAAGATATTCAACTTTATTACTTAGAATGGCATCACAGAGTTAGTGTAACAGAAGGTGTAGGAACCCTGGCAATTGTTTTCCAACAAGATGACTATGATCAGATCTCTCCCAAGAGGGAAGTGTTTCATAAATACTAGATGTTATGGAGGCAATAAGGTGGTGCCTCAACCCCTTTAGAAAGCTTTAAAAAATGTCTTACATAGTGGGGATGGTTTCTAGGGTCCTGCTGGGAAGCAGGCTGTTGAATTAGCTTCACAAAAGCACATCAGGGGGACAGAGATGTCCTCATTTGCACCAGAGAAAGGATTTGGAAAGCACTGGGTCTCAAGAGCCCTTTGACCTGTCTTTAGCACCCTCTGGACCATGAAGAACCTACTGTCCACCTTTTAATATGGAAAAGAAATTTCAGCATGTAGACACCTCTCTGGCAGCCAGCTAGTTCAGTATTCTCTTTGCCTTTCTGTCAGCTGTAATATTTCTTTAACAAACTGGTAGATTTTATAGCTCTTGGCCCTTTACATGGGTCACACAAGCTCTATAATAGCTTATCCTGGTGCCGTCCATCTGTTCTCTCTAAAACTGAGCTAAGTAGAAAGGAGCTTTAAAAGGGTTTGATCAGCCAGCCCCCTCCACCAAAAGATGCCATCCAAAATTACCCTGTTGATCTCTAAATTTGGAGCCTAGACTACTTGACGATGCCATTTAAATTTGGAAGTTAGACTCTTAAGGTCAGTGAATGAGGTTTAGGGATATAATCCACAGCTGATATTAGATACTGTTCCCATAACTGGTTTACTAAAACACACTGAAACAGAAATAAATCTCCAGAGTGCTTATCCACTTATGGTTGCAGCTTTGCATTTCAGCGCAGGGTGTGCATACTCACCTTAAACAGGCAGCCTTCACTGCTATTTTTGTAGGCAGCCCAAGCCCTAGGAATGTGCATTGTTGCTGCAGCAGCAGATTACTGGGTTCTTTGCACACCAAACTAAAATAAAGCATCCCTCCACCTAGGATTGGCCTGACATAGTGGGGTGAGACTCTTAAATGGCAGTGATTTATTATCTATTCTGTGAGGGTTCCCCCATCACTGGCCTCATACGTTCTAAATTGGAAGAAGTCCATGCCCTTTGGGGTACACAACATACCATTCTTACCTGTGCTAGCTTCCTTGTAACTACGAAATGCCTTTCTGTGTTCTTAGATGCACATAATATATGCTAAAGAAGTATGCTATAAATGAACTGACCCCCTCAATAATTTAATTTTCTATGGCTTTTTGTTTATTCATAGGGAAAGAACAGTTTTTTCATCCTTCGACGGAGAATAATTTTCCTAAGACCTCTTTCATAGTAGTTTAAAATTCACTATTTTGTTTTTCATTGTTCAGTTTTTCCCTTCACTGTGCTAGTCCCCTGGTGCTATTCTGAATATACTATAAAATCTGCCTTACCTCTTATTCCCAGGGGTATAGAGGATAGACCATTATACCAAGAATCATAAGAAAATATTCTATTGTCATCTTCACTAGCCTTGGAAATGTAAGCCAGTCACTTAACCTGTCTGAATGTCAGTTAGCCCTATCTATAAAGCAGAGATTATATTACCTTCCCTGCCAACTTCTTGGAATTGTGGTGAGAGTTAAACAAGATAATAACAGATGGGAAATTGGGGATTTGTGAGTTCTCTTCAACCTGACAAATGCCTATGACTCTATTATTGTTGCATATTGAACCTAAACTTCTAGTGCCCTTGCCAGCGTTTAGAGTACTATGGTGTGCCTGGGGAGAACCAAGTGGCAAATTAGGTCTCAGTTTGATCTAATTTGAGTATAGCCAAGTGCAAGTGTGATACATTTCTTTTACTACCATAAATATTTGTCACATGGAAAGCTTAGTATCTGAATCTTGGTCTTTTAAGCTTTAACTAGAATTGAAAGTACATGTTGCTATAACCAGTGGTTGCTCTTGTTTTACAAATTGCTACTAATAACAGCTGATATTACTGAGTGTGTAGTATGGACTGCTTTCTGAGGCAAGTACCTTGCATGAATCATCACCAAATAGGACCAGACTGCTGTTTTGTAACCTTTCCAGGAGCTCCTATGGGGACAGACAGTCTCACACTCCCATGCTGCACAGTCGTAGGTCATGCGGATCATCAGTTAGCTGTTACTTCTTTTAAATCTGCTTCTGGGAATGGTGTTAGGGAATACAGTTTCATTGATTTTTTTTAAGCAGAGATACAGGAGAGTACATGGAATAAAACTCTAAGAAATGTTTATTAAGATGAAAGCAAGTGCATATGCTCATTTTTTACTTAGTCTTGACCTCATTCAAATGCTCAGAATGATAGGCTCTCATATTCCTTAGATTAACCATAGCTACAAAAATAACAAACCAAAAATTAAAACCACTCCATCCCGGTTGGTTCAGTTTTAGTGGGCACAAACTTCTGTCTAACATCCCTTCCTCAACTAAGTTTTTTGATATGCTTGGTGCTCTGTTTTGCCTTTTACTGAACTCCCAGGTGTGGTAACACTCATATAGTGGACAGATATTAATAGAAAGCAAGCTGGCGTGGGTAGAAAGCCAGAAGGATATGAAGTAGAAATGTCAGGGTCCCCACCTGTAGCTTAGCTGTGTGCTTCTCTTCTTGTGCTTGACTGTCAATGCCCTACCTTAACTCTTGGGCCATTCACAGACCTTAATAAGGAGGAAAAAGGACTTCGATCCCTGTTAAACTAGAAACTGTTGTTTGACCACTTGCTATGTCATACATGTTTACAAGCAAGCAGGCACCAAAACAGTCATCCAACCTGTCATGTAAGCATGAAAAAGTCTCAACTCTGTCCTTTTAGGCAACCCAACATTATCCTACATAGAAAAGTTATTAGAAGCAAATCCAGCAATATTCCAACAGATAAAATCAGTCAGCTCAGTTCCTGGTTTAACTTCTAACAGAATGAATTAGGGAATCCTAGGTCTATTGGGCTTTCTGGATTCTCATATACTACTCATGGAAAGGATGGAGTGCCCTACAATATTGGGGCCAATCCACATATCTTTAACACCATTAATTTGACCAGTGAAAATACTCACCCATTAATAAAGTATCTGGTGTTGAACTGCAGAGAAAGCTTTTGCCATAGTAGCCTCTGAAGTGACTAGAGTATTTTCAAATGCTAATAGCGCCTGGAGGGGTGTATTCCCAATTAGGATACTTCAAATATTAACCAGCCACCCCCAGAGTGTATATTAAGTCTGGTTAACATATTCCAAAATAATTTAAAGAAATTATATCAAATGTAACAGAATTTGTTAAGGATTTCTCGGGTTATCACTCCTTCACACTGGTAGAGGTCTTCATGGCTCTGAAGTGAACAACCTGCTGAGTAGAGTTTTGCACTGGCATTTCTTCTTAGTGACAGCCTTTTCTTTCTTATGGTCGTGTGTGTGTGTGTGTGTGTGTGTGTGTGTGTGTGTGTGTGTGTGTGTGTGTGTGTGTCTGTGAGAGAGAGAGAGAGAGAGGTCTACTTAAAATTTGCAGCTCAGTAAACATTTTGCAGATCACATGTATAAGAGAATCCCACCCCTGCAAGCATCTCACTAATGCAGGCACATTTTACTTTAACATAATCTCTGCAAAAAGGCTAGAGATAGGAGGGAGAGGCCACATTTACTATGCCAGCCTAAATACATAAAATATTAGATTTATTCCTACTGTGTTTCCATTATTGGATTAGTTATTCTCAAGTTTCAGTTTGATGATAGAAGTTTAAAGCAAAGTAGACTAAAAGAGAACAAAAATTTTGAAGCCATTAAACATTTTTTTATTGTACATTATCAATCAGGACAATGATGTAGAAGTTATCTCTGAATCTCAGGGAGAAGGGAAACTACCATTGACAAATAAAAATATTGACTAAATCCACTTCATTGATTCATCCCACAGCATATTAGTATCAGTGTTTGGGGGCTAAGACTATGATAGATATCAAATGACATACCTCTTTATACATCAAAAAGTACTAATTACATTCTGTATCCTCAGCTGTGAGGCTTAAGGCTGAATTCCTGGGTTTCAGAGGAACAGTTGTGAATATTACTGCTATGTATGTTTATGGAAAATAGCAACATCTCCATGAATAAAAATAGGCAGAGTCGTGTCCTCTACAAGCTCCCATTCTGTAGCTGTGGTGTTTATAGTCTCTACTAGCACACGATTTATTATAAGCATGTCAGTTGAACCCAAGGAGACTTTGACTCTTTGACTTAAAATTATTATTAGATTATAATTGCCATCCCAAACAATCTTCAGTAAACAAAAACCAGCTTTCTTAAGTTTGTCACTCTCTGCATCTAAAGGTGGCAGACCAAACAGTTGCCCTCTTGTGGTTTTTTCCAGCACTACCATTTAAAGTTTCTAAATCAGGTGCCGTATCGCCCAGCAGGATCCTTGATACAATGACCTAACCTGATTGTTTTGATTGTCATGGCATGGAATTTAACTGTGCAAGTCGATTAGAAGAAACCTTGAGGGAAAGTCTGCCTGGGAATCCAGAACATCAAATTTGCTACACTGGTTTAGAACTGTGGCCTGTTCTACTACAGATGTGTCTGACAGCCATGAAGAGATGTTTTATGTGCCTCCTCCAGAAGTTAATTTCCCTTAATGACTCACGGTGGATCTGTGAATCTCAGAGTTACAACATGATTTTCAAAGTGAACGGGTACCATTGTTTTGGTTTTCAATACCCTTTCTAATAATGACCAGTATTTTTTTAAATCCACCCCAGCATATTCTCTCTCAAGCCTTATTAATAATTTGGTACTTATGGTATTTTACTAGAGCTAGCAGCAGTCTGTCCTAAATGCATTAGTTTTACCTGCCCACAGCATGGCTCATTTATTTCTCTGCTTTTTTACACATGATCTTATGAGAATTTACGTGTATTTCCTTCAGCTGAGCATTTCAATTCACTACCCCGATGAGTGTCATTTTAGGTTTCATTGTATGCCTGAAATTCCAAGTCCTTTGTAAAAAAATGTTAAGTAGCAGGTGTTGCTACTGAACCCCTGGATTGTTCCACTTGTCCATCTATGATAGTTCCTGTTTATTCTCTACCTTCTGCTTCTATTTCTAAGACAACATTTTAAGACATAACATCTGTTCCACCCAATTTACTCTCCATGGGGCCTTAATCTCTTGACTTCTTTACTTCTTAGTTTCACCCCTGTAAGTTAGTGCTCTCTACCTCACAGGGGTTTTATAAGGGGAAAAAATAAGATGTTTAAGGGTTGTCTTCAAGAGTGATCCTTCTTTTAAAGTGATTTGGTAACAGGCTTAGAAATGAGAAACTTTATAGCTATTATTTTTTTTCCCTATTGTTTTGCTGTTTTTATTTCTGAGAAGCTATCTATGTCTGAAAAGAGTCTTTGGTTTTAACTTTATCCTCATTAACCCATTTCACACTGAAGTCTCTACCTTATCCATGCTCTGAACATTTTACTTGTTGAGCCAAAACTAATTCTTCCACAATAAATCCCACATACTTTTATTCCTATCATTAAACAAATTAATGTCCTCCACAAAGAAACATTCTGGCTCTTTGCACAAGAAGTCAGAAGGTAATGAGTTTTCATTGTGGCCCTGGCAAGATCTCACTGTGTGCCTTATTCTCCTGTGTAAATTGAGGTTAATTCGCCTACTTCGCAGCACCCAGATACTGTGAGTCCCAAAAATGGTGAAAAGCATTTTGAAAATGTCCTGTACTGTATAAATGCATAGTGGACAATCTGGAGAGTCTTCAAGTAGAAATATGTTCTAGATCAATTCAGAATACTAATTTACCCATTGTTTTCAAATGTTTTACTAACATACACTTTTTTGTTTATAGTGAATATTAGTTTCTAGATATTTGAACTACTTTAATTTTGGTGTGTAGGAAGTAATCAATAGTATATATTCTTGCTTGTCAGAAAATACCCAAGTTGTATTTTTAAGTGTTAAACTGAAAGGGTTACATAACAAAGTAGTTGGGTAGGGAGGAGATTATAGCTCAAATGTTGCAAAATATGGAAGTACAAAAATTAGCTTTGAATTTGAGATTGTATTATAAATAGTAGATGTTAATGTGGTTTTTAGATATTCTTTATTTTTACGTTACCAGAAATTGTCTTTTATTTTTGCAGTTTTGAACTATATGGTTCTTTACATGTTTTGAATAAAGTTTTCATCAACTAAGGTTTTCTATTTACATTATTATCAATAAATTTGTTATTAAAATACATATCAAAATTAATAACCTAATTACACAACTATAAAATTCAAGGTTTAAAGAACTTTTGTGGCAACTGTTTCTATACTTGGATTTTTTTTATTAAAAAGATTTTTAAAATAGTAACAAATGCTTTTATGCTTGAAGCAGTATTAGAAATGTTTTTTTTAAAACATAAGTTACATATTATTGTAATTACCTATGAAAATGACTTAATACCTTTTTTAGTGAAGCTACATTTATTCCACTTAAAGTGTTGTTCTTTATTCCTGATTGATTCTTAGGAGTTAAAATGTCCTTTCTTTTATGAAATCATATTGGTGTAAAATGATCATTAAATTTTCTTATTTACCCCACCCTACCCCCCCAAAAAACGTTGATATCTATAATAGATTCCTGAACTTTGTCTTTAGGGGGGATGCTTTACTGCTCTATGAAATCCCAATGTCTAGGAACTACTTTTTTAAAATAACATTCTTTTGAAATACCATAGCATTCACTCTTTTATAGTGTTAAATTCAGTGGTTTTTAGTATATTCACAGAGTTCTGCAATGATCACCACAATCAATTTGAAGATATTTTCATCACCCCAGAAAGGAACTTGTGCACATTAGTGTTCACTGCCCATCCACCTCTCCCTCAAGTCCCTGGCAACCATGTCTTTTTTCTTTCTCTGTGGATGGCATATAAGTGGAATCATATGCTATCTAGTTCTGTGTGACTGGCTTATTTTAGCATAGTGTTTCCAAAGTTCATCCATATTGTAGTATGCATCATTTCTTTATATTCCATTGTATGGATACACTGCATTTTATACAGTCATCAGTTGGTGGACATTTGGATTGTTTGCAATGTTTGGAAATAATTATGAACAACGCTGCTATGAACATTTGTGTGCAAGTTTTTTTGTGAAAACATGTTTTATCTCTCTTTCATATATACCTGAGAATGGAATTACTGGATCATATGGTGACTCTGCAGTTTAACCTTTTGAGAAATTTCCAAACTCTTTTCCAAAACTATTGCACCATTTATGTTGTCATCAATAGTGTATGAGGGTTCCAATTTCACATCCTTACCAACACTTGTTCTGCTTTTTATTACAACCATCCTAGGAAGTGTGAAATGGTATCTCATTGTGGTTTTTTTATTTAATAGGAATTCTCACTTTTATTTTTTCTTTGTAGGGGAGGAACAACAATGATATTTGTCTGTTTTCTACAACCCTTTAAGAAGATAAAGTCGTTCTTAGCTCATGGGCTGTATAAAAACAGGCTGCAGGCTGGATTTGGTCCACAGCTAGCCAACCTCTGACCTGGCAGATAGAACTATTAATAGTAAAAATATACATTAAATCGGGTATTTTAAATATACTCTGTAAAAGAAGGTAGAGGAGAACATGAGCCTATTAAAGATAGATATGGAAAATTGAAAACAATATACAAGGTAGAGTGTTAATAAATCAGCTTGATGGATTTAAAAAAAACCAAACACCTTGACTTGCATCATTTGCTGATTTCCACGGTGTACCTACTTCCACCATGGCCAGTTTTAACTTAGCAGCATGACACCGCTGAACATGCAGTCGGGGAGGGATGTGCACAGTCCGTACTTGCAAGTTGACTTTAGCACATCACTGATGCAAACCACTCTGAATGCGTGTCACACAACAACCAGTAAATATAGCTAACATCTTTAAGGCTATTGTGGGTCTTCTCCACTCCTACAAGCATCCAGTGAAAGGGAGAATATTTGCCTCTTGTATTATTAGGCTCCCAAATAGCCTTTTTCTTTTTCTCAACGTTCATTCTCTAGAATTCTAGGTGCATTTCTACAAGGTAAAATAAGTGCATCAACATGCAACCAAGGAGAACATGTTGTGATCCATCCGGAAAAAAACTTCCTGGAAAATGTATTTTAGTTGGGTGTTGACTAGATGGGAATTGGCCACGTACACACAAAAACACATATTCCATACTTATGGATGGTTGCAAGAGTTTAAAAATGAGAGTCAAAAAAGTTGAAGATTTGTCTCCGTGGTTAGAATATGTAATAATGTGATCAGATATTTTGCATGGGAGTTTCTTCTTTCCAGAGTTTCCAGGAAAAGCCTCAACTTCAGATGTCCGTTTCCACCAAAACAGCACAATGCAAGGGGGAAAAAATTCCTTCCACACCCTCTGAAATTGCTGCAAGAAAACTCTAGAAAAATTTCATAGTGAATCACCCAGAAAATAAGGAATTTATATCTTAGACTTTAAATAGCCCTTTGAAATTCTTGTCTAGTATGTTTCAAATTGGTATCCATGTACCATACTTAAGAATAACCAAGACTTTTTGTCCACAGCCTCCGATGAATCCCCGTATCTTTTCTAAACAATTCCCTTCCTACTCGTAGTAAAAGCCAAAGTTCAGTGAGAGATTGATGTTTTTGACCTATCTTTGTCAGCTCAAATCAAAGCAAAGAATGGAGCAGCTTTACTGGGCAGAAGTGGTTATGTTACCTTGCTCAATGTAGAAAAGGTGGAGTTATCTATTGCCAACCAAGAGACATACTAATAATTTAATCAGAACTCACAGTTTCTGATTCTCCAATGTGAGATTTCCTAAGTGGGAATGTGCAGGACAAAGGGACTTGAATAATCTGTGACTTCTCTGCAAACTTTTGTATTCTTTTCTTGGCTAAAGAAAAAGCTAAGCCTTTTCTAAAATGCAAAGGACATTCTAACACAGGTGTGCCCTGCTGTGATCCAGCCAGACTTCTTCGATTTCCTGGCACAGTCCTGCTGTCCAAAGTCAGTCTAGTTATCGCTATAAGTACACCTGTGCATGTCATATTGGGTGTTTCCCTGCTGGGTTCAATACCCAGGGTCTGTGCTGTATACCCTAATCCAGAGCATCACTACTGTGGAGTAGTTTAATATGGGGGCGGGGCCTGTCGGAATGTGGCATTGATGTGTTCTCAGGCAATCTTGTTTTCTCCTGCAGTTGGCCTACAGAAACACTGTCCTATGTTCTGGCTACGGAGGATCCCACTCTCCACTGCTGCTTGAAACAGTATTCCCAAGTGTGACATATGCTGCCTTCAGGACTGGAAGAGGCCTCCTAGGCCTTGTACTTGCTGCTTCCTGGTGGAAAGTGCAAGATACAATGATTTATATTTCACTTTAGAGGAAATATTCCAGCTGCCTCTGGTCACCAGATTCCTGAACATTCTGGCAACATGTCAGGCCCTAGAATTTTTATAGGTTTTATCTCCTACCCCCTGAAGTGCAACCAAGAGACATACTAATAATTTAATCTTGTTCTTTGCACAAGAACTGGGGGAATTCTTACATAAATATTTGCTGTGTTTCTGCAGGGTCCTTTGTCATCGGGACCTGTAGTTATTCAATCAACATGAAGTGCATGTTTCTTGCCAAAGTCTCCAGGCTTCTAGCCATTTCTTGCTCATCTAGCTCAGTAAGGTCAGCACACTGTTGATATAGTGGGTAAGTGAGAGTCTATGGAATGTTCAATGAGTCCAGATCTCTTTTGACTACATTATGACAGAGAATAGGGGAGTTAATATAATCTGGAGTCAAAACTGTAAATCTGTATTGTTATCCATTCCACATAAATGAACCCTTTCTGATCTCTTTTTGGTCATAATAGAAAATTAACGTTTGCAAAATCAATGGCCACATATACCACAAATTTAAGGCCTTATTAATCTGCTCTAGTGTAGATACCACGTTTAGCACAATAGCTATAATTGGGGATACTACTTGGCTGAGCTTTAGGAGTCTGCTGGCATCCTCCAAGGTCCATCTTGTTTCTTCGAGACTGGCAAATTAGACGGAAATATAATAGAGACCATCATCCTTTAAATCTTTAAGTGTGGCACAAGATCTGCGATCTCTCCTAGTCAATATCATTTTATACTTACTGTTTGGCTCAGTGGGAGGCAGTTTTAGAGACTTCCACTTGGTCTTCCCTACCATAATAGCCCCTAACTCAATGTGGCTGTTGTGCCAACTATCTATATGCCAATACCTTTGACTGGGAAAGTGACCGTCAAGTGGGTCTGAAGGGCTTCATTAATTACCAGTTCCCCATCTGTGCCCACTATAATGAAGAGTAGGGCATAGTAACACTTAAGGACTCCAACTATTAATGTCAACTTGGACCCAACAGTCCTTGAAATGTCCGGTTCCACAGCATACAGTTGCCCATATGTTTCTTTGCACAAGAACTGGGGGAATTCTTACATAAATATTTGCTGAGTTTCTACAGGGTCCTTCGTCATGGGGACATGTAGTTATTCAACCAACTATGGGTCTGAAAACTATCTCAAGTCCAGAAACTGGACAAAAGATGTAGATTTTTATTTATCAGCTTCCTTATTAACCATCCCTCGTTTCTTCTGATGGTACAAAATGAGAAGTTCTCCTTTTGCCTGTCCAATTTTTAGTCCTTAAGAGGCCATGCTTTTTAAATTCAGGGGCTCTCAAACAAGCTTGCCGTAGAATCACCTGGAGAGCTTGTTCAACTACAGATTGCTGCATCCCATACCCAGGGTTTCTGATTTGGTAGTTCTGGGGAGGGTCCTGAGAATTTGCATTTCCAACAAGTTCTCGGGTGATATTGATGTTCCTGGTCCAGGGGCCATCGTAATCATCCATGACTGCAGGGCAAGCACCTTTGGCTGCCACTCTGACCTTGCTGCTTATCAGGGTAATGTCATCCACCTGGCTTGCTTCAGGTAGCTACACAAAAAGACCTGTCCTCTGTTATTTTGGGGTCCTATCATCACCACCATTATCACCATCTGAGGTCCTTCCATCATTGCTGGGCATTTTAGTGGGGCTGGAGCCCCTCTCACCTGCATATTCCTTATGGCCATGGTTAATGATCTGTCCTCTGGGCCTTTCTGTGCAACATACTCCTTAGGTGGGTTTTTGGGCCTCACATGGTATATAATAT